CTTTTTCACGTGTGACGGGTCATAAGATTAACTTTTGATTTCAATTCAAGGCAGATGTGATGCTAACCTGTTTGCAAGTTGCCGTTCAACATGAATCCCTTTATCGTGTAGGAATACAAATTTCAGAAGACGATGGAATATCGCAAAACATTTTTCATCGGTCTTGCACACTTTTTCACACAATAATCACAACACTTTCCCCGCAGACTTGATCTCTGCTCAGCGATGTGCTGCGAACAAGCCCGTTCACACTGTTTTGTAGGCAGCTAGCAAGCTAAGCTAGCTTGCTGAAGCATCGTCGACTCACAGCGGAACGAGTTTATCCGGGCACAAACGATTTCATGAACATTTTACAACATTAAAGTCGCGATCGACGTGTTGTGTTAACTAAAAGCAACATACCTTTGCTCTCACAAGACAACAATTAACACAGCTGGACTTTCACCTTTTTTGGCTTGAAAAATTCAGGATCACATTCCTGCAATTCCTTTTGTTTCGACAATCTCATTTTCTTTTGTCTTGCTCTCTCCCTACACACACTGTCACCTTATTCATCATTCTTGAAATGCGCGTGAAGCTCAGGGATCGCCTCTCCGGTGCCGTTATCCCTGCAAACCCGAACCAATCACCGAGCGATCGTTCTCGGCAAAGGTCATCTTGAGAGAGTGAATACTCATCGGATGAATTTTTGTCAATAAAAGTCTGGGTTTTTTTTTGTTTTGTTTCCATGAAATGTATCTACTTTTATACAGCCTCGGGGGGGGGGGGGAGAGTAGACTCACAGTTCCGATTCAATATATTGTAAAATTGTGTGTTCGCTCACTCTAAAGCAGCGGAAATGTTTCTCCGTCACCTTTTAATTCTGTCAGGTCTTGTGACCTCATCCCCAAAACGTATGCTAGTTTCCGAGAGACTACGTCACTGCATGTCACTGCTGACGAAGCGATGTAAGCGTGAATTGAGGTAACAGACAGACCGACGTGTGGCTGCGGAGAGTTTGAGGGCTGGCGAGGACGGCCGCATATCACATTAGAAGAAGACTCGTCCCTGAAGATGTCAGCGGCATCGCCCTCGTGTTGCGTCTTGGTTTTCATCTTCTCACTCTCCCTTCCTCTGTGCGCAATTCTCTGACCCCGTGTCGAATTCAAGCTAATGGCTTGTGTACTCTCGCCAGTGAGCCGTCAAATTCTCCACTCTGAATGCCTTTGCCTTCCCGCTCCTCTCCTTATTTCTTGCCAATTTTTTTCAATGCCAGACAAGCCATTTGTTTAAGGATTCCTTTTCTGCCACGCTCACCTCTGTTGTTGCTCCGTCGCATTATTTGACTTTGCAACACTCTCGCTGTTGCACTGACTCATGTTCTACTCCGCACACAGACCAATACACATATGGCACAGTACGTGGTGGCTTTTATTTCCCCATGCTGTCTGCAGAACATTCGGCTTCACTTGCTGCAGCAATGTACTGGGGCAAGGCACCTGCTGTGTTGAGCTGATATGAGGGAAGAGAGAGTGGGGCAGATGTGCGGGCGTGCGTGCGTGCACACGCGCACACGCTCACAGAATTTACTGGCATTCCAAATGCCTAGATATGGCTGAGAAATACAATCATCCTGTGTCTGTAAATGCAGAAATGGCTCCTAACCAGATAACCTGCTCACAGTTACAAGTCTGTATAGTTTAACCGCCTACCCAGACGTATGCCCATTATGAAAAAAAAAACGTGTTGTCTCATTGTCTGAAGGAAAACCGTTTAGGTTTTATCGTCTTGAAGGACACTTTCTGCGTGTGCGTCGCTTTGTATATTTGGCCTTTGAAGTATGTTTTCAAGTACTGTATTTACTGCACCATAATGCGCCTTATTTGATCAATATTCAGATTTCTTGATGTAGTATTTTAAATATTCTGTTAAGAGCTTTGATACAACTGCAGCAGTTCTAAAAGCTCTATATATAAAAAAAGAAGCTGTATTGTATTGTATACTCTTTAGCGGGGCTCCATCTAGTGGATGAATAACGCAACCGCAGCCACTATTGTAACTTCTATTCCATGCGCCTCATAATGCGGTGTGCCCTATATATGAAAACAGTTTAAATTAGGCCATTCACTGAAGACGCGCCTTATACTGCGGAGCGGAAAATACGGTCTATACTTTGATGTGGGAAAACTCAGCATGCCACCTTTTAATGTGTTTTCCAATATAACGAGCTTATCAGCGTGGCTTGCCTTCCCCTATTTAATAGGAAGCGATAAGAGGACTGAATAATTGAACACCTGACTTCAGTCCATATGTTGACGCAAAGAAACTGTGGGGATTTATGATATATTTTTATCCAGGAACTGCATCCTAAACTGGCAACGGGAGATTTTTTTTTTCTTGTGACGGGATTTATTGAAATGACCATGGGGAAGTATTAGAAAGATCTTTCGGTACGATGCAGTGCTGCTTAACACCGCTGCAAGCAACTACGATAACATGTAGATCAAAATAGGCGTTATTAGAAAGAAAGTTTATGGGTCCTTGCAGGCAATTCGAAAGTGATAGTTGTGTATGTCCTGACAAACATGAAATCCTGCTTCAATCTAAATCAACTCGAACCATCGTAAACGAAATGTGTTGACGGCCGTCGGAATGCGAAATCAACAAACTTGTGAATATGCTGTCCAGTGATTGTTATACAAGCTGCTGTGTCGTTTCCAACCTTTCAAAGGCTGCATGTCTGGTGCAGCCTGATCCACACAGCCACAGGGCGACAGCTGCCACCTCCCAAAAAACGCCTTGCCACTCTAGCTGCCAACTCGATTTGAACAATGTCGCTGGAAAATGTATCAACGCGAAGTCAAGCCCGGTCGGAGATGCAGAAAATACACCCGAGTGCATTTGAATTTCGTAAACAAAGACCTTCCAAGCAGAATTCATTCAGCCGCCTCCAGCTGTCTCTTTCTTGGTGTCTGTGCAGCAGCCTTCGCTCCTGACTTAGTAATACGCCGTATTTATTGACATTTTCGGGGGTGTATTAATTTAAGAACGTTCATGATTGTGTTAGTAGTTTGAAATTAGTCTTGCACCATCAATACTGAACCTGTGGCTGACATTGTGTCATTACTAAGCGGGAATTCAATGCGGAGGTCCAAATCCTTCTAATAATCCACTTTTGCCGAAAGTTAATGGGTGATTTTGCTGAGACAAGCACGGGTGACAGGTGAAGAATATTAAATTGCTCGATGGCCAAGAGGATGATGGTTCACTTGTTATTCTGCTTGCACCGCTACATGTGTGTGTGTGTGTGTGTGTGTGTGTGTGTGTGTGTGTGTGTGTGTGTGCTCCCTTGACCCACAGGCATGTTGCAAAGTGTTGAGATGAGAACAGTACAACCCAAAGAGTCTTTTGTCACCATTAAGTGTGGGTCATTCTATGAAGCAGAGAAGTGAAGGAGGGTATGCTCCAAGATTTTACCCGAAATGCATGCCATTGAACGTGGCACCTTGGTCCAAATTGGCTTGAGCTTTTCATTTTAATATTGGAACCTGGCTAGAAACCTCAAGTTCCATGCCGACAAAAATAAAATGAAAAAATATATACATATGTGTATATATATTGTTTACCCCCCTGTGCAAAAGGCTCTCATGCATAACAAATGAAGTGCAATAACTCATTTTATGCAACCCCCCCCCCCACACACACACACACACACACACACACACACACACACACACACACACACACGCAAACCGCAGTCCGGCAAAAAGCCTCAATGCATACGCATCTCCTCGAGTCATGCATGACTCATCTCGTTTTCGTGGCACATACAATGCAAAGCTGTTGACTTGGTGCGACCTTACTTTTTCAATTATTCATATTTAAATGCATGCACACACACGCACGCACGCATAGATGAGAAAAGCTGCACGTGGACATTCGCTGCAAATAGGTTCATCGCAACCTGAGCTCGCTGTTGCTTTTGAATTGTAACTCATTCACTTTCCCAACAGTTTTGACCGAGTGTCAAAAAAAAGTGTTGTTTAACTTCAAATCTCCCCTCCTTTAAAAAAGAAACAAGATAGAATAATTGAAACCAAAACTGCTGGTTGTATTTCTGAAATACAACACACACACACACACACACACACACACACACACACACACACGAATACACACGTGCTGTCGCGATATAAAAATGGCAAATTTTCTCTAAATTTTGTCAGACTCTCTACATGTGTGTATCTCCACTCTGTTACAATTAGGTGTGAGTCTTTATTGAGATTGCAATTTAAACCGCTTATTTTGCAGCAACCTGTGGAAGCACTTTTCAGTGGGGTGAAAAGAAAAAAAAAAGAAATGAAACACACCCAGCTCCTAAATTGGTTCATGCGCCATTGCCCTCCATTTTATTATTGTGATGATTAGAATAGCTTTCCTCCCCAAGGGCTGCCGGCATAAAATTGAAGCTCTTTGGTTACCTGAATGCGCAGCGGGGCGACAAAAAGAAATCACAATACAAAGTGGAAGATTTGGTCAAAAGGGAAAACGATGTGTTTCGCTCCACTTGAAAGGCCCCAAAACGGAAGAAAAATAGGACGAAAAAGAAGAGTCTCTGATAAGAATCTGGATTGACGCAGAACGGCAGGCATCCAAATTGCTGGTGGCAGGACGGGAAGCTCGACGTAAAGCAGAGGTGACGATGAGATGAAGACAACGTTACGCTTGCAGGTGAGCGATCTCACAAAATGATTTAGGACAAGGGGTTACTAAATCACCAAGCAAAGAGTCCGTCCCCGTCGTCTGTTTCGTTCATTTCTTGCTGGTGTCACGCTGGTTAAGTTTCCCGGAAACATGACCCGAGCAGACCTCCGCTCGCGTGCTGGGATCAGTTTGTTGTGTCCTGTATGCCATTATTTTTTGACAATTTAAAAAAAAATGTCAACATTGTTTCTGAATTGTTCGAGTTCTGTATCGCAGTGTACAACCCGTTCCATCCTTAACTCCAGCCTTGTGAGTACATGGTTCGAGAGGATTAGCATCATGGTCATCTTGCTCAACTGTGTGACACTCGGAATGTACCAGCCCTGCGAGAACATCGACTGCACTTCGGACCGCTGCCAGATCCTCCAGGTAAGGTTGGCCGTCTACTTACCCGGTTTTGGGTTACAACGCGGGGAGGGGGGTGGGGAAGCTGCAATCAAATGATCACAAAATGAAACTGGGACGGAGGGATGGACTTCATGGAAGGCAATTAGTTAGCAGCTGTCAATGAGGATGTTATTTGGGGCCTTTTTTTGGTTCGTGGATTTTCTCGCATCAACATCAATCATCAGTCTTCAATTGATCGCCAGGCAAAACTCCAAAACGACCATTTGAAAGATTGAATCCAGATCTGGTCCATATTGTACACACGGTAGGTTTGAATGGATCCAAGACATTGGCTCTGTTGAAAGTACAAGCACGAATGCAGTTGGCCCTTTGACGCTGAATGTTTCCTTCCACGTTATATTCTGGAGTATATGAATTTAGCATCATTCGCCGATCCGTTTCTGCTCCGGTGATATGTCTTCCTGCCGTCTTCCTCTGTGTATTCCAACATCCCCCACAACAGCTCCTTTGCCTTTCTCTGGCCTTTGTTTCTCTAACAAGCCGATTGTTTCCTGAGGTAGTCCGGGTGCCTCTTTTAAAAGCAATGGCAGAGATTTTGCTGACAATGCTCTTATAGTCCCAAGTAAGTGCGGACCTTGCCAGCTACTTTGGTGAAACATGGTCTCCTTGACTTTCAAAGTAAAGGTGTAAAGTAAATAAATCATTCGTTGAGGGAAATGTTTTGTTTTTTTTAAGAAGTGTGCAGATCTATAATTTGCATAACTTGCATTCCTGTGCATCATTACCGATGCATGCCCAATAAAAAAAAAAAAGAAAAATTAAATTTTTCTGAACGTTAACATGTATTTGGTCCCCTTTGTAAAACTGTACCCATGATACATTCATATGATAGCCATTAAACGTTTAATATACACAATAACTACGATAAAGTCTTGAGGGAGTGTGCATGAGACAAGGAAAAAGCAATTATATTTCGATGAGGATAAGGACGCCGATACCGGGACGTATTTTTACATCTGGTCGTCATCCTCCATAAACCAGGAAGTAGCCTGTCGTCTAACAAAACAGATGGACAAATAAAAACAAATACCACGCTCAATGAATTTTCACTTTTATTAACAGCTCAGCTTTGGTGGAAATCTGCGCGCTACTTTTTTACAATACACCTGACCCCTCCACGGTGATCTTCATGACAGTGCTGAAACAGCATGCCGCTATCTTAACGGCGGTGAGCAATTAAAAAAAAAAAAAAAAAACCTTCGTCCCTTTCTGCTCTTATTTGTATCTGAGTGTGAAATGACTCCTTTGGCTCATCTCGACTGTCACTCATTTGCCGCATGCGATAGATATGCCATACATCTTCGTGTTTCAACATCAAAATCTCAGTGACCTACTTACTGCATCATCTCCTTCCCGTTCCCAAATAGCAGCATATGAGGTAGCTTCCACAGCGAGCTCCCCTTTCACATCATGAAAGGGCCCTTGACACGCGACACCCTCGCTCTCTTTACAAATCGTGTTGATGATTAAACCTGATAGGGCCGACATTGAAAAAAAAAAAAAAAGCTGGCGGTGGTGACAAATCGCGACGGTGAATTCACCGCCTCTTTCGCTCGGAGCCGAGCGCCACGCGAGGCGCAGCCAATGTGGGATTACACGTGAGGGGTGGCAGGCTGCATTATTTATCAAAACATCATTTAAACAGCTGATGAGACTCATCTTTCTCTTCTCCCACCATTCGAAATCTGGAACCTCTGCTGATGTCTGACTTGTTGGCGCCATATCGTATCCAATTATCGTGAGCGCAGCCAGTTGCGCACCGGTACAAAATAGCCACTCATAAAACTATTTATTATACCCCTAAACAATTCTGTGCGGTCCAATACAATAGCTTGATCAAACTTCTGCCTTTATGAGAAAACAATTAATTCAACACTATTTTATTTATTTATTTTTTTTAACTGCAATTGTAGAATTGCAGCGGATCATACGGATGTTTCTCCTATTTTGTCCCTTTCGTGTCGGTATTGTACATAAGGTGAATAAAACATGATCAAATAAGCAAAAGCTTGTTTGACCATTAAAAAGAACCCGTTCATTGTCCTCAGGGACGGACTATCGTATCCTATAACCGTCGAACCGAATTGGGCTTATAAGTATGACGCGTTGAAGTCGATTATGCTGACGTATATTTTGAAAGCCAACCCGTACGGGTCTTCTGTGCTTTCTACGACTACCCCCTTTCTAAAACCGTCAACGAACTTTTACAGGTGTCTGTTGAAGAGGAAGGACACCTTGTTGCCAGACTGACCGCTGGCCAGTATAAACTCTGTCAGCCTCCTGGCTTGTTTTGTAGCTTTATGACCCTCTGACAGTTTTTGCTGCTGCTGCCACCGGACCGGGCACCAACAACGGCGACTGTCTGATGAAACTTGAAATGGTATTTGATTCAAAAAGTGAGCCGGCGACTTGAAATTGGCAATTTGCCGAGTACTTCGGGTTTTGAGAGATGTCGTAAGATCTCGGATCGATACTAATACCAATGAAAGTAATGAGGCTTCAAACACCCGAGACGCGTAAAAGCCATCTAGCGTCTTGTTTCAACTTATACAGAATTAGAGAATTAAATAAGACCTAAAAATGCAATGCCGTGAGTACACATGAGGAGCTATTCAATATATTCAACTGAAAGAACAAGATCAAATAATGAGACTCCATTTTATACGATGAGGAAAAGAGACATGAGAAAATCTTGGAATCGGGCAAACTGTGCTACAGCAGCAAAACTAAACGCACTCCCATTCCGCATCATTTCCCTTCTCTCGTGGCTTAAGGCCGCACGCGCTCGTCTTGAAAACGTTTCCGAGGACTGAGGGAAGTTCTCTCCACACGTGAAGGATAGAATTACTGGACGCGTCCACCTTGCTCTCATCTGTGTTGTGTTTCCCCCGCTGTGGGCTACGCTTGACGCTTTTGTTTGTCATTTATCTTCTGCCTGAAACCTCCCGACGGTAATAATTGGAAAGTATTTGTGGAAAATCGTCCCCC